AATATCTGTTGACAGTCTGCAAACCCAACCTCTAGAACTTCTATTTCAAATCTAAACCACCAACCACCTGTCAGTAAAGAAAGTTAATATGCAATTTGGCATAATCTTAGCGACTTGAAATGGTTTGTTCCAGTGGGTATAAGAAGATGAGGCACTGGTAGTCCATTCCATCTTGCCTTGGTACAACTTTCCAGGTAATTACACATTACGAAATCTGTGGTTTTACAGTAAGAAACACAGAATCACATAACTGTAGAAGTTGGAAGGGAATTCTAGAGATTTCAACACCTCTGCTAAAGCAGATTGCCTACAGCAGGTTGTACAGATAGGTGTCCAGACAGGTCTTGAATAGAGAAGGAGACTCCATAACATTTGCTTTATTTAGAGCTTTTTTTTTTTTTTTGGAGGAAATAGAGCTAGTCTAGATACAGTCCGTATGTAGATTGTAGCTGTAGAATGCATAACTTTTCATTTCATTTTGAATGTTCCAGAAACGAAGACAGTAAGAGAAAGAACGAGATGGACAGAGATATGGACCAGGAAGTACTTTTTCAGCATAAGCTGAAGAGATCTAGGGAATAAGTCTTGAAGGTCTTCTAGGTTGTATATCCTCTCTGCAGGCTAATCAGAGCTATCCTTATATGTATGATATGTATTTCTATCATATGTAATATGATATGTAATTCTGTGTAGTGTTCTGTGTGTATCTGAGTATGTTACCTGACACTCCTTTCAAAATGACTCATTTTGTGCAGCATACTGAGCCTTGAGCACGTAAATCAGCATGGGTCTATATAACTAATCCTAGGTTTCCTTATTATAATAATTTTAGTTCAGAGTATAAAAAAATAAATTACAATCAAATAAAACAGTACACATAAAAAAAGTAGAGTTAAGCTATATATGTTTTTTTACAAGCTCACCTTTGTGGACATTTAAAAACTTAAGATAAAACTTCTGTTTGTACAAAATGAAACATTACTATATGCTGAAAATCACAACTTTCATTTTATGAGGCAACACTTCAATAATTATTTAAATTTTATGGTTGGCCCACTAACCAGACAGGTACAAGAAAGTTAAATGACATTTCACAGGTTCCTCTGAAAAGAGGGTTAAAAATACAATTTGAGAATAGAATCAGAATGTACAGTTACTTTCCACTGAAATTCAGATGAAATTAGGTCTCCTGATCCCTTCAGCTCTTTTGAAGAACTAAATCCATAATAAATGAAAATACTACATGAACCTTACAATGAGCCCTAGCATGAAAGGTATTTTAAAAATGACAATGACTTCTATTGAAATACTGAGATAGGGCAGCTGTATCATACAAGACCATTCTATACTGATAGATTTCTATTCTTTCAGTAATTATGTAAGAACATTTTTTTTTAACTACTACACTTTACAGACATCATTACTGATGAATATCACTCATCTTTTCTTAATATAGTCTTACCCTAAGATACAGATAATATTCCTTCCCTGTGTAGTCTAGCATGCTTAATGTATTTTGAGGGAACAATATACAATTAAATGTGAAAAATAACACCTCTTTTTGATCAGAATGTTTATCACAAGTTTAAGTTAAGTATGTTGCCTTTTAAACTTTTATCCCTCTTACTTCATCATTTCATTTGTTATTTACTCCCAATTGTATTATCTCATTCTAGCAATCCAGCATTTCCAAAAGAGGTGTAACAACATAGAAAGTGGTGGATGATGGGTTGGCCATGAACCAGCAGTATGCCCAGGTGGCCAACAACGCCAGTGGGATCCTGGGGTGCATTAAAAGGACAGCAGCCAGCAGGTCAAGGCAGGTGATCCTGCCCCTCTGCTCTGTGCTGCTGAGGCTTCATCTGGAGTACTGCATCCAGATGTGGAGACCTCAGTACAGGAGAGACATAGACCTGTTGGAGAGCATCCAGAGGAGGGCCACAAAAATGATCCAAGGGATGGAACACCTCTCCTATAGGGACAGTGAGAGAGCTGGTGAGGCACTGGAACAGGTTGCTCAGATATATAGTGGATGCCTCATCCCTGGAGACTTTCAAGGCAAGGTTGGGGCAAGCTCTGGGCAACCTGATCTAGCTGTAGATCTCCCTGTTCACTGAAATGGAGGTGGACTGGATGACCTTTAAAGGTCTCTTCCAATTCTAAGGATTCTATGATTCTATGATTCCAAAGCTAGATATAGCTGTCCACATGGCCCTGAAGATGAGACATTTTCTTACAATAATTATTTCTAAATTGCTACTCCAAAATGGACATCTAATCCATTAGTTATGACAAATCACAACATTTGAATACAGTTTCTTCCCACAAAGACTCATACAAAAGCTTTGACACCTCTAAGCTTGTGTTCCTCATGACTGAAGGAAATCTCCTTATCACTAAAATCGATCACAGACTGGGATCGGTTCTGCTCTCCTATGTAAACTACTAGGCTGCAATCCCCTGTAATTTAAGCAGGCAGAACTACTCACACTATCCGTGATGACTTCCCTCCTCCCAGAGACTTGGAAAATCTTAGATTAAATTCATACTCAGGAAATAACTGCTAAGTGGAGTGGTTCTCAGAACTTAAAAGAGCTTTCAAAGTAAACTGTTGACCTCTTTCAAGGTTGTTTCATTTTCAAAACAGTTTCTGCTTCCTGCATGCATTGTACTGATCTATCCTGTTGAAGTAATTCTTGCAGCAAAGAAAGACTTTTTGAAAGAAGACTGTGTCCTCTAACTCCCTTTTCAAGGATCAAATAATTTTTATGTCACTTAGAAGTAAGCACTGGTTCTGTTGACAGGAAGAAGCTACTCTATGAAAAAATATGTCATCAATGCAAGTCAGTATTATAAAGCTGCACATCTGCAGCCTCCTAACAAGCCTCTTCAGAGCAGTTTTTCATAATATTTAGAATGACCCTTGTATATGAAAACATTTTTCAAGTGAGGAAAAAAATCTAATTGTGCAGATCTCTGTCTAGAAATACAGTATATAGTCTTCTGACAACTAATCTACATATAATTAAATATTTTAATGAGAAAAGCATAGGAAATGTTCTTGATCTTCATATAATCTGCTGGCAGTCCAATGCTTCAGGAATTATTTTATCACGGTTTTTGTGTAATGCAACAAAATCAAATACAACAGTATCACAATCGTTAGGATATCTATGATATTCTTCAATTCTAATCTAGACGGTAAATTCCCAAATCTCTACAAACAGATATAAAAGTAAGGGCACTTAAATGTTTAAGTTACCAATGGGATGTGTAGTGCTACAGAAAACAAATCAGTATCAACAGTATTTATAAACTACTGCAGGATAATTTGATTAAAAAATATTTTTTATTAAAAGTTCTCATTGAAATACTTGATTTCACTTAAACCTAAACTTTCTTCAGAAATATATTAGCTTTTTTTTTTCCCCCCCTCATAATCCATTTAGAAAAATATAAAACTCTGGCCATCTTTAAAGCTAACTTTTTTTTCCACCTGCCACTTTGAAAACATTTCCTAATGAATTTCTATTTTATATTAGCCAAGATTCCCTTTCTTTTTCACTAATTTTCCTCTTCTTTCTTTATTATAAACATAAAGACACATAACATCAAACCAATACAAAAGTCTGGTTGAGACTCTTTTCCCTCTTTTCTCCTCTGCTTAAAAAGGACAGAAATCCAACTTGAAAGTCTCCAAATTGAAATTAAAAAATAAAATTCCTTTATTTTCATATGAAAAGTGAAATACAGACATCAACGTGAATGACAGATACAAAAAATAATACTGCCTCCTCCAGGAAAAGTCAGTAAGAAAGAAAATAAATATGCTTTAGGAATATACTGGTGGAAAAAAGTAATGGAAGATCTGAGCATCATTTCACATTTATACACTTAAAAAGTGTTCATAAGCTATTTTTCAAGCTAATTCCTCTTTAGCAGAACCTCACAAATGAAAAGAACCAGAATGAACAGTATTTAGCCTGAATTAACAAACTTAGATTTCAATGTACTAAGAATTCACTAGGTTACACTGCAGTGTGAATTTAGTAGATGCACTGGGTTTACTGTAAGTATTTACTTAAGGAGTAAAGTAATAAATAAGTTATAAATTCATATTCTTGCACATTAAACGTCCTGTTTAAGCAAGCCCTATTTTCCCAGAGAATAAGCATCCCTGTCATAGCCCATAGGAATATCCTTCATAAAAAATGTGCATGGATGAGACAGTACAATTCAAATGTTACCTTCTTGCACTCAACATTCCTCACACAGATAAGCATGCTATTTCATTTCCAAAATATCCTATGAAGCCTGTCACTCTGGAATCTGACTTGATACCATGTCAAACCTTCATATTGAAAATTATTTAATTTTTTTTTTTTTTTTCCAAAAGATACTGTCAACAGTTCTGGCCTGGTTCAAGGTAATGGACCATGGAACCAAGCCTGGTTCCATGACTAATGGGGTAGGAAGATCCATGGACCCAAGCACCAGGAGATGGGGAAGGGAGAAAAAGGTAAAAGGTAGAGAGATGTGCCTAAAAACAAAACAGTGGCAGGAAAATAACGGAGGAAACTAATTTACTACATATGATAGTGGAATGTGAGATACCTCAATGTAATATATTATAGTTAGAATTGAAGTTAATAAATAAAATGAGAGAGAGATTGTTCAAAAGGCCTTACTCAAGTGCTGAAGGTGAGACAGCTAAGGAGCACACACCACATAGATGAGTGGAAAAAGAAGGGGTAGCCTCATGACCCCCAAACAATTTTGTCTTTCCCTTTGAATGGAAAACAGAGACAGAACAGCGAAGTCTTCTGGGATCTGTAGTTCACTCTTTCTGAGAACCAAGTATCCAGAATTATTGACAATTCATGGAACTGAAGCATTAACTCTTTAACTGCCAATGCACTAATGATGTTATGATGTGGAATACTGATAACAAAAATCACAAAACCACAACAGATTTTAATAGATAATTAAAGAAATATTACCATACTGTCTCCTATCCACAGCTGGGGGCAAATTCAGCCACAGAATGAAGTTATTGAGTTCATTTAGGTAGGATGGCAGTGAATGGAAACCTTTTTGGTTATACCACACCTGAAAGAGAGAATGGAAATTGTGAATCAAAAATTGAAAGTCTGAACACTGATCTGAAAACACCCATAATTTAAAGAATTGCATAAAGATATTGAAGATGAATTCTCCTTTTAATGCACTTATTTACAGAAGAGAATGGCCTAGGCAGAACAGAATTGTTTTATTTGTACCAGTCTTTCAACAAAATGCAGCAGGTTGTTTTCTACTGTTGGAGTTGCAAACTTAATAATTAAATGAGATTTTCTGGTTTAATGAAACACATTTTTACTTTAAAAACATTTGGTTGAGCAAATAACACAGGATTACAATGTAAAAGCAATATTTTCCAATTTAAACAGAAACATAAAAGATGAGGAAAAATAGCGTTATAAGTGAAGTATGTTTATTACTGACATTCCAAAAAGACTTATCAAAGTAATAGCTGCAAGTGACATGTGGCATAAAATGTCCAAAAACAGACCATGTCCAAGAAAGTTGGGAAAGAAAGAAACAAGGATGCACTGCTTACACAGTGAGCATGAAACTATGCCAGGAAGGACAAAGTTGACTCTGCACCTTTAACAGGCAATTATACTTGATTTCCTGAGTGAGGAGAAAAGTAAATACAGTAAACTTTAAATCAGACAAAGCAATTCTGAGGACCATAGGGAAGCATTTCTGATGTAACATACACTTTATCTTTAAATCAGGCAGAACTGACCCAACTTGATAAATATACTCAAAATGCATATCCTCCTAGGATACCATGTGCAAGAATCAATGCCAACAGGCTAATTATGTCCCAAAACTGAGTATACAGAGGTCTCAGTTTTCCTTTTCCTCTGGAAATCAATTTCATTTCTATGCCTCCTTAACTGTTAATCAAAGTGCTTTTAACCCTACATTATCCACACCAAAAACTAGATCAGAGAAAGCAAAGCACATTTGTTTTCAGTTTTGGAAGCACATTTAAAATCCTCTTCAATTACCATCCATTCCACACTGGATAGCAAGCTTTCATCTCCCTTTTTTGTTTATGCAGTTGACAAACTCTTATTCTTTTCCAATTTGCTATCAAGTATTTGCTAATATGCATTTTGTTCATCACCAGTTGGCACTGGGCAGTTCTCACTTTGTCTCTGGACTATGAGTTGTATGTCAAAGTACATGTTTTTTAATGGAGCTCTCTCTTGCCTTAACTTAATCTTTCAAGATTTCATTTTTCCTAAATCCGTTCTGAAATTACAGTTATGTCTTGAAAACTTCCATGAATAATACTTTTCCATGACTCAGATGCTGTTTTCATCTAGTTCTATTCCACATATGTCTGCCTTTTTATTTTTTTTATTTTTTTCCAAATTAGTTGCAGATAATAGTGTTTTTTCCTTCTAGAATCCAGCAACAATCCATACTTGGACACTAAGATCCAGACTTTGGCTTTTCTTTCATGTTCTTCTCCATGCTTTCTAGTACAGGCAATCTACTCTTCAGTTCTATTTCCCTCTCCTAACAGTTCTTTCCTTCTGAATTTATCTTTCTCATTATCTACTTGCTTGGATCTCCCGACTGTATTCTGCAGTGAGGCAAGGTCTGAAACACTCAGATCCTCCCATTTAGTTCCCTCCCTATCCTATATCCATGCTGTCAAACTCTAATCTGAGCTTCACCATCACTTCTTTTGTGTCTCTCATCCTTAAATCTTCTTTGTCATAATCTCCATTCAGTATTAGTACACAAATGTACAACTTTGGTCAAGTATCACTACTTTTGCTTACAGTAGCTTTCACATTTCCTGCTCTGTTCATGGTCTTCACAGTTACCTCAAATCTCATCAGCATCCTATGTTCCCACCTTTAAAGAACAGAAAAGAAATATTTCATTTTTTATAAACTTGTATTCAGCTCCTTTGCTTTCCTCCAGGTCAGTGCCCACAAATTACTAAACAGACTAGGTCTCCCATTCTTTAATCAATAAGAGAGCTTTTTTAAAAGATGAACTAAAATAAAACCCATATCCTGGAAAAAGTGCAAATTCTTCCACTGCTGGATCTCCTGTACAAATAGGTACCAGACAAAGAAAAAAATGTTCAAGGGTAGCCAGCCTTTGCCACACACCAATTTCTTATTGTATCTTGTTTAAAAAGATTTGTGCAGAATAGAAAGTTATAAACGCATGATGAAAATCCAATCCAATTTTGTTCATCATACAGAATATGAGGCAATTAAGAAAACAATAAAGCAAAACCCTGATGACACATTCTCATTTAATCAAAGCAGGGAAAGTCTCAACTATTCACAGAATGCCTTAGAAATATAACAATGTGACCGATATTAAATGAAAATACAAAAAAAAAAAAAATCCACAGCTCAGCATTGTATATAACTATACATTTCAATATCTCACACAGTAATTGAAATTCTGCATTCAAAGTATATTATACAACTGAATCAAAACACCAGAAAATAAACAAATTAAAGGTGCTTCTTTCATTGCTTATAATACAGCAATAAGTGAAAGAAAGAGCAACTGAGCTTCCGCTCTTCATCATAATATACATTTAAACTTTTTTTTCAAAATCCTTTTGATTTTTTCTATATTGATTATAAAGCTAAAACATAAGAAAATAAATATATCATTTCCAGCTGAAATATATTTCATCTTTCTTGTATGTCTCACAGGTAATTATTTACAAATGGCAGGAAAGAGATAGGAATTAGAAAAATACATAGAATAAGATTATTAAATTTGATTTCTTACAATTTCATCATTTATCTATGACTGATAAAATTTGGTCCAAGGAAAAACATTGCCCATCTCTAAATTAAAACTAAATTCTGTAAAAATATCTTTCCCATTATTTCACATAATTTTTATCCACAATTAACATTCTAGAATTATGTTAGACCAATGTTTTGATTAACCTATGCTCTATAGGAAAAAGGATGAGGACAGGCAGAGAGTGAGCATTAGACAGGAGAGATGTATCTTTAGACATTTAAACTATTGCTGCATAATAAAGACTCAAATTCCAGCCTTTCATACAGAACACTTCAAAATGCCACTAAAGACTACAGATTACCTGTCTGGACTACTTAAAACTTATTTTTCCTATTTAGAATAGTTACTAATAACAGCAACTATGTAATCATTATGGAATATTTTTGCTCACAATTACCAAAAGAAACAAATACATGGTCCAGAAATCTGGAAAAGTCAGTTGGGGGGGGGAAGGGGAAAGAACATTTGAAGCAGAGTTGTGCTTTTGCCATATAGCATTGCCTTCATCAGTGAATGTCCACAGTCAATGGTTTTAATCAGTCAAGTCTGGCATATGGTAGATAGATACTTCTCATAGAATGGACAAATTTGGAGGGGACCTTAAAAATCATCTAGTTAAAGGACTTGCAAAAGTCCAGGTAGACACCATCAATCACACCTCCTCTGTCCACCTATGTAGTCACTTCATCATAGAAAGCCACCAGATTGGTCAGGAAAGATCTGCCCTTGGTGAAGCAGTTCTGGCTGTCTGGGATCACTGCCTCACCCCATGTGTGCCTTAACATCTCTTCCAGGAGCATCCACTCCATGATCTTCCCAGGCACAGATGTGAGGCTCACCAACCTGTAGTTGCCTGGATCTTCCTTTTACCCCTTTATTGTACATGGGAGTGATGTTGCCCTTTTTCTAGTCACTGGAGACTTCACCTGACAGCCATGATTTCTCAAATATGGTGGAGAGCAGCTTGGCAACCACATCAGCCAGTTTCTTCCGAACTCTGGAATGCACGTCATCCAGTCCCATAGACTTGTAAACATTCAGACTGATGAGGTGGTCGCAAACTTACACCACTCTCACACAGATTTTGCTCACCCGGGTCCTGCTTAGAAGTTCAGGGAAATGAGAGGCATTAGAAGTTTCACTGGTGATGAAGAACTGAGGTGAAGAACTCACTAAGTACCTCAGCCTTCACCATGTCTGAGGAGGTCAGCTCTCCATTTTCATTTATCAGAGGGGGTCCACTCTCCTTTGCCTAACTATTCTGAGCAATGTATATAAAGAAACCCTTCCTGCTGTTTTATATATCTCTCACCAAGTTCAATTCCATCTGCACCATGACTTTTCTGACTGCATCCCTGCACATCCAGACAGCATATCTATATTCTTCCCAGGCCACCCATCCCTACTTTCACTGCTTATACTTTTCCTTTTTCTCCCCTTAGCAGAGACCAACACATCTTTGCTCAGTCATGCTATTTTCCTGTCTCATCTGCCTGATTTCTTTTTCTGGGAATGGAGAGCTCTTGTGCTCTCAGAAAGGCATCATTAAAGTGCTGACAGCTCTCTTCTGTTCCTTTGCCCCTAAGGACCATTTCTCTGGGGATCTCATCCAGCAATTCCTTAAGAAGCCTGAATTCATCCTCCTTGAATTCAGTCTTGACTCCACTCTTTGCCAGGCTCGTGTTCCTCGAGATCATGAACTCAACCAGGGCATGGTTAGTGCAGCCCAGGCTGCCTCTGATCTTAATCTCTTTTATAATCTCTTCTGTACTGCTGAGCAACAGGTCCAGCAATGCTTCACTTCTGGTAGGTATGTCCAATACCTGAACCAGAAAGTAGTCGGCAGTCGGAGTCTCCTAGACTGTTTACAGGTCACCAGGTTGGCTGTTTTTCCATGTTATCTCTGAACACATACACATTTGCTGTTGGTAAAGACTATTTCAGAATTTGAATAGGTATTTTTAATTTGAACAGAAAAAATAAGTTGACTAATGGAATGGGGAATAACAAAAAAGATTCCAACATTTTCTAAAATGAAAAGAATCAAACAGTAAGTCTCTTCAAATGCAAATTTCTCATTTTACTTCATATGAAACTATGTAAATGGTACATTCACTGTCTCATGAACAAGCCTGAAAGGTCAAACTAAAAGTCTGGTCATTAATTATTGAAAGGTTAATGCAATAATTTGACACTGTATCAGTTGAAAGCCACTTCCAGGAGGTATTTTAGATAACACAGTGCCCTTTATAAATCCACTCCAATATTTTCTTTGGCTCTGAAATATGAAGCCTACTCACAAACACAGAATTATAATTTATCCTTTTGTTGATACCAGGTGGAGCTCTATGTGTAAGACATCAAACAAACAAATAAATAAATAAATAAAAGACCCTGACAAAAAACACAGTGCTTGCATGTCAAAACAATAATTTTAAAGGTATAAAGATACAGAGGATGAAAACGGCAGTCAGAAGAACACATCTTACTGCAATCCTCTAGGACTTCAAATTACTAAGTAAGGATTTATGGAACTGGAATTCATAGGTATAAGAAATCAGGAGGTAAAAGAGATTACAACCTAAATGACCTAAATGAAAATATTTATAAGATAGAGTGTGTATATTTGATATTTTCAATCAAAAGTACAATGAAAAGGCATTGCAGTCAGATGGCAGTTTGCAATACAGAAATGATGTTGGCAAGAATTGGAAAATATCTACGTATTGTTTTAACTTTTGTACCAAAAGGGAATTTGAGATAGAGCTTAATTACACTTTTGTTTTTCTTCTTCAGTTGTAAGAGAAAATTGCATCTAGTGCCAAGACCAAAATATTTTCAATACAGAAAGATCTTTCTCTCATACTCCAACTTGGAATCCAGACGGTCAAGTTTCACAGCTTCCTCTAATAAGAAATCTTCTGCTTGCATAAAAAGAGCTTACTAAGATTCTTCAAAACTGCTCTCCTTCTTACTGGTCTTACATTTGAGTGGTCCTCAAAAGAACATTCCAAGAGGAAAAAAAATATTTTGTTCTGAAAATTCCCCATTAGCCTCTGGATCCCAATCCAAGTTTTCATGTCTTTCTTGTGTGTACAAGAAGTCCTCTAGAAAAAGCTCCTGACTTCATCTACACTTAAAATAATCCTTCTGTTTCAGGCTCTCAGGGGTAGCTTTGTGCAGAACTGAAAGACAGGACAGTCCACTGTCAGAGGATACCCAGATTTCACAGCTCAACCAAATTTCATCAAGGTGCAAGTTCCTCTGGGATAAAAATGGGAAGTTGCAGGGTAGTTATGTGAAATTAACTTCCACTTGATATGTAGAAGTAACTACTCCCAGAACCTAAATCTTTATTTTTATAAAACAAAGAGTGGGAGTGGAAAAAAAATGTGAAAGAAAAAAGAGAGAAAGGCAGCAAAGAAAAAAATATTTATTGCAAAAATGTTACAAGCATCAATAACAAATTTCTGAGACATTCAGTTGATACTTTCTTCCCTAGTTCAGACACTGTCTCACTCCAATTTATAGGAAGGAGAGGGGGTTCTTTTAATATATGCATACCCAATGGCAAGATTAAGGCACAATGGGTCAGATGCTAGCCCAACCAGTTTACTACAAATCCTAGTTGTTTAGGGATATGGGGAAGGGAAGATGGGCAATAGAAAAGATAGGAAATAAAAGTAATGAGTCTTTACAGGAAGCAAGAGAGAGACAGTCACCACCAGGATCCCAGCACTGCTTGTAGTTTAGATTTTGATCTTCAGTAGTGATGGGTTGTTTGAGGGTTGTTGTTTGGTTGAGGATGATGACAACAGTACCAACTTATAAATAAGTCCAAAGTGGTTGAGTCAGCTCTCTTTAGAGTGGCAGCTTCTGGCTTTGGGTTCAGCAGAAACTCCTTTGTTCCCACCTTCCAGGCCTTGCCAGCAGATGAGAGGGAGCAGGAAGGTGCCCACCTGCTTTTCACAGGATATGATATCATTCCCCAATCTCTCGTACCAAACTGGAGTTATTTGGTCATAGGCCAGATCTTCTGCTAGTAAGTGCTTCTGAGCACTCTCTTCAGAAGGCAGTTTCAAAGAAATGTTTTCAAATGTAAAATTGTCCACAAAGTAATGCTGATTGCCACACAGTGATACCCACCACTTGCTTCCTGCATAAGTCAGTCTTATTGCAAGAAATGCCTCAGAAAGCAAGCTTTGAGCCAAAAATAAAGAGGGGTTCAGACAGACATTGACTTTATAGAGTACAAATGAATATAAAATGATATTTGCTACCTAAAAAAATAGTTTTAAAGATGAGCTCAGTTAGATTCTGAAATAGGTTCATGGGATAAACAACAAAAGGCTTATCATTTGACTCATTTAAAACTGCTTTTCAGAACATGGGAAATTTTCAAGAATTACAGACAGAGAAACAGATCGTAATAGATAGTTTTTCCTCCAATTTATAAATACAAGAATTTTATATAATGATTTATTATTTGCCAAGTGCAATGAAATCTGGACCCTGAAAAAGCAAGAAACGCATACATGTGTTTGCACATGTGCAATCCTTACCTTAACCAGAGGCTTAGATTTGATATTATTCCATTTTTGTTCTCGATATTCAGAAACTTTCTTCCCACCAAAAGACCAACCACCATATCTGGTAACAGACAATAAGGTGATAGCAAGTTACCCAGCTTAAACTCCATCTTCCTTAGCAGTCCTTTTTTGCAATGATAAAGTGGTAATATCTAAATTAATGCATTATTTTTCAACTGAAATTACTGTGTGGAAAGAGCCATTGACAACTGCTGGAGGAAGCTCAGAGAAACTGCCATACAGGGGGTTCCATGTTATCTAAGGCTATTCACCTTAACAAAAAACAATGGATAAAGGCAACTGCCCCCTTACACAGGCCTGCGCTTTGGAAGAATTATTATTGTTTTTTGGGGTTTTTTTTTATACACAAAGGATAAACTGCTTTGTCATTTTAGAATTAGGTTACCTTTCTTTGTTGGAAGGCCTCACTAAATATTCTTCCACAATCAACCCTGAGAGATTGTATAAAACATGTCCTCTCTTATTTTTCACATAGGGAACAGAGGTATTGAAACTCAGACACATCTGGAAAACAGTATACAGGAAATAACTGAAGTGGCCTTTAAAAAAATCATTTTAAAAAATCAGCATCACTAAATTTAGCCTTCTTTTTTTTTTTTTTTTTCAAATTTGTACACAGTTTTTGCAGCATTGCTTGTCAACTGAATTTAACTTTTTTTTAGCTTCAATAACTTTTGAATAAATTATATATGGTTTCATTTTTATAAAGCATCTCAAATAATTGTAACTATCACCTACATATGAGTATCACCTTTGATTTCCCTTGCAACCCTGTCAGTCAGTTTTGTTTTGAAAACATCAAAACTTAAATATAAATTCAGACAGGATTACAGCAATGAAAAAGACAAGACTTCTACTAACTTTTGTGCCTGAAAATAAACACAAAAGGCACAAGTAGAATATAGGATGAAAACAAAAATTCTGATTCATGCACTGAGGGATAGTAGTAGGGGAAAAAAGGAAGGTGTTTTCTAGCAATTCAGTTGGATATTCTCACAGTTATTATGATGTGATACCTGAGAAACTTCATAAAGTATATAATGCATAAAATCTGAAAATTTGCCATGCTTATTTGACATCTTGACCCTACTTGTTATAAATCAGTATCAGATATTCTAGCTTTCCATAGCTCACAGGTAAAATTTCTGCCTCCACTGACAAATTACTTTTGAAGTTCCAGTTAGTGGGTCTCTCCCTGACACTGAGTCCCCTTTGCCTTTTTATTTAAGCTTGTTTAATTCTAAAAGTATCACTCTACAGTATTAGAGGAAAAGGTGCTCCTTGCCCCGTAAAGTCAAAAATTAGTTCCCCCTTCCAATTTTCCCCAAATTAATGTATTTCAGATGCAACTCTCACTCCAATAAATTTATCTCCTTCATAAGGATATAAATAATTGAGAAAATGGTCCCATCAAGGTAAATAACTTAGTTCATACACAGTTTCATACCCCAGTTTATTACTCAATATCAGAACAATCCAACTGGAAAAGTTACTAGTCAAAAAGATTAGAAATTCATTAACTTTTTCAAAATTCTTCCCTGAAAAGCTATTTTATTTTCACATTGAACTGTTCAGTTCAAAACAGAAATAAACTCTAACAATTAAATGCTAGTTAATCATAGATTCCCTGGTAGCTTCTAACAGCTAGAAACACCTGCCCTTTCCATTTTAGGGTAGGTAGTTTTTCAGGGAATCGCGTGTAATGTTTTAACTTTATTCTGCATGACTGTTTTGTAAGCAAAGTCCTATATCATGTTTGAAGCCAAGTTGCATCTGCTGGGAAGAGTTCAACTATCTTTGATTCCTGCTATTTCAGGTCAATCTAAAGACATTTCTACTATACACAAATACACACACTTAGATATGTTCTCTGAATACCTCAGAATACATAAGCCAAATACTAGATGAGATAAAGCAATATCTGGTCAGGAAAAAAAAAAAAAAAGTCCAATGTTCTAAACATTTACCTCCTCAGCTATTCCCCTGCCCCTTCAAAAAGAATAGTTCAGGTACTGCATATAATACACAATTTTTTTTTTACATAAATACATACACAGAGATATACATACCTCATTTGCCGACATGCATCCACATGAATTCAGGAGTGAATCTGATTCCATCTGCCAGCATGAATTATTTTTTCTAATGGGAATAAACATAATTATATAAACAACCATCAAGAGAAAGTAATATATTATAGAAGAAATCCAGAGTAACAACTAAATCTGGAATCTTGAGAACCTTCCTAGTATTTTACCATAGCAGCAGCTGAATCTGTGTCAGATTTTGTTTATTTGAATTCAAAGAGGATTCATAACAAATATTTATGTAAGTAAAGCAACAAAGGATTTGCATGCTTTGTGTTTGCATCAGTAAGGTAAGTAAAGAACAGTTACCGTTCTGCATTCTTGACTTTAGACATCTGGAACTCTTCCTAACAAACACCATAAAAATTACTGCCTAACCCTTATTCATACAAGACAAGAGACTTATTCAAAATCCACCTGAAATTAATGAGAAATCTGTCACTGACATCTAAGGGATTTGAATCAGACCTTTTAATAATTAAGCCTGATAACACATTCTATCTGGATACTAGCTCCTTAGTCAAAGCAGATTTAACAGCATCACGTTCAGAGGGCTGGAGCACAATGAAGAAGGACTGAGAGAGATGGACCTCCAAGCTGAGATCTTTGTTGAAGAGAAGGCTCCAGGGAAACATCATCGACCTTCTACTGAGGGAAGCTAACAACTAAGATGATTTTTTACACAGTCTGAGTGACAGAACAAGGGGTAATGGCTTTAAACTATAAGAGCAGAGATTTAGGTTAGATGTCAGGAAATTCTTTACTCAGAGTGTAGCGAGGCACTGGCACAGGCTGCCCAGAAAAGCTGTGGGTGCCCTAATCCCTGGAGGGGACAGGCCAGATTGGATGGGGCCCTAGGCAGCCTGAGCTGGCGGGTGGCAGCCCTGCCCATGGCAGGGAGTTGGAATTAGATGATCTTTAAGGTCCATTCCAAGCTAAGCTATTCTATGACTGCTGAGAGAAGACCAAGACAGTTCACACTACGAAGAAAAAAATAATAAATTCACTGCTTCTTTACATCTTTTGTTTTTATCTATGCTTCTATTTTCTCTTTTGTATAGGTATATACAATCAGCAAATTTTTTCCTAGATCCAACTTAAGGCTAATTAAATTTTTCTGTTAAAAAATTTCAAAGAAAATATAATTATGCTAGATTTATTGATTTCCTCATTACTACCTGCATCTCCATTTCAAGTTAGCAGCAAGTGTTAAATCAATATAGAACATTTTAAAGTAGTTACATTATTCAGTTACCCTTGTTTTGAATGCATGCATGTGAAGTCCCAGTCAAAGAAACATCTCAGTAGAATCTGAGAAAGGTTTCCTAGATTATCATCTTCAGTGCTGTTCAAAGTGGGCCAAAGAGTAAAGGGGTGGATTGAGAAAAGAAACACAAACATGTTAATTTGTCTAATTCTAGTAACTTTTAGCCTCACAGTTCTACATGTTTTCTACAAAATGAAAGAACTAACAAATCTCTGCATAGGAAACATACAAAACAAGAAATGTATTTCAAAAACTACATCTGAACTTGTAAAGAAAATTCAATGCAATTACCCCTAAACAAATCTAAACTTCTCCCCACAACCATTCTTCTCGTTACAGGCATGTTTTTTTTTTGTGTGTGTGTGCTTCATTTATAAATTCAAGCATCATCATATTATCTTTATAAATATATCTAGCTATTTGTCCAATAGATAAAACTATCTGTCTGATTTACAGGTAATACAGAGTAACTCTACTATAAGCTATAGATATTGTAGACAAATAATACGTTAGATGGTTTCAAAGCTAAAAATACAAAAACTAGAGGTTCAGCTAGAAGGGCACAAACTTCCTTAGTACTGTGTGGTACTGTCTAACCTGAGAACTTTTTCAGAAAAATACTGATCTAATCAATTAAATAGGCTGAAGCATGCAAAGACTTTTTAAAATGCACTTAAACATTTACATATATGCAGTCATGATCTGTACTGAACGCAAACTGCTCCAAAATCTGTGTCCTTCCTTCAGCAAATACTTCATATAATCCCTTTCTGTTTTTTTTTTGTTTCTCTCATAAGTCCCCCTCACAATGATCTAAACAACTGAAAAATAAACAGCTATTGTAAAACTAACAAATAAACAAAAAACACAAACAAACATCATTATCTGAAGAATGCAAATACTCATAAAAATATGGGAGCTCAAAGATAAAGGTCCCAGAATCCTGGATATTGATGATCAATGAGTTCTTTACCTAAAGAAGGATTCTGCATTCTTGTAAAGTCTTGGTGTCAGCTTGAGAGAAGGATAATCAACCGCCAGAGGCTTCACACTAAACAAGGCCATTGCCAGTGCAACAAAGAGGACTGGCAGAAGAACATTTGACAGACTTCCTCTCCAGTCTCGCCTAATGTGGTGAAACCTCTTCAGCAGAAGGGCAACAATTTGTGCAAGAATGAGATTAGTTCCACACACACGTGAGGCCTCCATAAGTGAGATATCTGTAAGACAGAAATTAATAAATAAACCTGAAGAAAATCAAATTACATGAGTTGTATTTTCAAATATAAAACAACTTTTTGATAGGAAAGAAAAACTACACAAATCTATAGTATCCAACTGAGTGGAGCAGTACAAATCTCCCCAATCTCAGTAAAATTAGTTAACTCTGCCTATAAACCTACGGTTGTATCTCTGTAACTCCCTGTACACAAATAAAACACTGGATACCTATTTATCTGTAGTCTTTGCACTGGTATATCCATTCCTCGTGCACTGTCGTGTTTGCTCTTAGACAAATAACCAAGAAACGTTGTTTCTATTAGCACCAAGGTCACAATCTGCAACAACTGAAATCAGTGGCAACTTTTCCTCACAGATTTCAAGAGGAAATCTTCAGAGTATGTTACAGCACATAGATGCTAGAAAGGTAAATTCTCATAAAAGCATTCCCTTACTTTCTCTGCTCATAGAGGACTGATAACATTTATTCATATATTAATTAAAGCAATTTTCACAGTCCCAGTCAGTGGACTGTCACATTCCAATGGGAGTGTCCCCACAGCTTACTGACATCTCACCAATCAAATTTTCCTGATATGCTCTCAAAGAATTTAATTTCGTTGCTCTTTCTGTCTACTGTTGCAGTCGAGTGTGTACTTGTGAGACATCAATCACTTGGCCTCTATTTTTTTTGTAATGCCTTTTAGGTATGTGCAGGCTATTAGCAGCTCCTCCAGCCTTGCCAGACTGAACATACCTTCAGCTTCTTTTCTTCCTTAGAGCATAGCAGTCTCAAGCAGATTTATCACCACAGAAATTTGCACTGTAAAAAAACTGTACAATCTGTTTATCATAATGCTCAAAGACAATCCCCTGTGATTTGTCTCTTATAGCATTCTATATACTAAGACAGCACTTCCATGTTACATTTTAACAATTACTTTTAAGAGAGCTTTCAAGTAACCCTAAATTAACTGTCCTTCTCTTTGCACAGTTTCTCCTAGTTTACTAGAAATTTAATCCCAGAAGGTAGTACTGTAGGACAAACAAGGGGAAAAACAAAAAAAGAGATGTTTAATTTCTGACAGAGTGACCATTGAACAATACAGCTCAAATTCTGTGCTTTCTAAAAACCAGTATGTGGACTGTAAGCATGTAATTTTTTCTATTAAAAACTATATGTGCTTTGCTATAGAAGATTTCAATCATATCAAGTAGACACATTATGGGAGATCTCAGCTTCTATGGTTTGATCCCACATAAGAAGTCAAATGGGAGGACTTCACAGTGACATGGAATATACTGTGGGCTTCCCAAAACTAAGATTTCTGGAAAAAGATAAACATCACATCCACCTTCAAGATGAGAAAAAAAAAAAAAAAAAAGAGGATCTAGGTAACTACATTCTGATCAGCCTCAGTTCCTGGGATAGTTGCAGATGAAATCCCCCAGAAAAGTACACAAAAGATACAAAAAATGAGGTGCCAGGGAATAGCCAGCATGGATTTGCCAACATCAAGACTTATTTGGCCCACCTAAGAGCTACAAAGACAAGATTGGTTTAGTGAACGAGGAATGAGTTTTTCTTCCTTGACTGAATGCAGCCTATGACACGGTCTTCCACAACATCCTTAGAACAAGTAGGGTGAGAAAGACAACAAAGCCATGCTCTCTGCACCATACTTAGGACTGAATTCATGGTACTGGGTACAGTAAAAGGGCAGTTGGTTATAGTGTCCCTAAAGGCCAGTGGTGAGGAAAACAATGACTAACAATGATGGTTATCATGTGCTAGCACACCTGGTAGAGACCCACATGTTTGGAGGTGGCTTTAGGGAATGAGCATTTGGATGAGAGCCACCTTCCAGTAGGGTTGGTAGACAGAATGAGTTCAAAGACAGCACCCAAAGGCCGTAGTAGTATTGAGTAAAAGGATTTCTGCTCAGGTAAAAAGCAAAAGAAGCAACAGGTACCAGCTAGGATACAGGAAATTCCTACTCAATACATCATGAAAAAAATTAACTGTTGTGATAACCAACAAATAGTGCAGACAGAACAAAGCCCTGAATAACCAGTTCTAAGTTGATCTGCTTTCAGTAGGAACTTGGACAAGATAATCACCAAATGTCTCTTCATACCCTAATAGCTTCTGTTTCAATCAGATTCCAATTACTTCTTAGTAATTAATTTCATTTCTATTTCTGAAAAGTAAAACAGTTTTTATTCTTTTAATTCTGAGACTGAGTGGCATTTTTTTATCTTATATATTCTCACAGAACACAAATTCTATTAGCAGTTCTAATCACAGACATGTCCTACTAGCTTGACAACTCATACAAAAGGGACTTAGGATTTTAGTCCTTTGTGGAGAAAAAAAAGTAGCTACAAAAATTCAGACAGTGGTCCTATAATCAAATGTCCTAGTCAAGAGCATTTGCAGTTTGAAACCTGGCTTTCTATAAATTTGGTAACTAGGAGAAGACAACCTTAGTACAAAAATATCTTTTTAAGCAAAATTTTATGGAAGCTTTTTGAATTACATCATATTATGTTAAGATTTTCCACAGTTAACACACAGAGGCACTTGAAAGAAGAATAATTTGCAAGGGATGGGTGTTTTTAAAATAAATGAGATCCTGTATTTCTAGCTGAGTGTCTCTGCAATTGTAAAATATACTATCTCTCTTTTATCAAAGCTTTCAAAGTATTGAAATGCAAGAAAAGTACAAAGCAGCAGAATACAATGAAAAATCTGCCACAGTCCCAGATCTGTTCATAGATTATAAGCATGAAATGTGAGTGAAAAATCCTTCAAAATGTTTGCTCCCTTTGAATCTCTGAAAGAGGGCTATCACAATTACTTTCTAAGGGCAGGAAGGGAAATCAAAGCTGCCATTCATGTTGTTTCTTGACAAATGGAGCAGAGAGAAAAGCTAACAAATTCATTCAGATTGCAATAGGAAGAGAAACTGTCGTTCTAAATAATAACAATGGTTCATTTGGCCCAATATCCTGACACTTTTTCAATATTTCCGAAGCTGGCCAGCCAAGATGTATCACAAGAAGATGCAATAAATCATTATATTAAAAGTATTTATTTGCCTCAGGCATTTTTTTAAAAAACTTTTTAAAATTATTGACTTTTCTAAGAAAGTCCATATTCATTATATAAATCTCTGCAGAATGCGTCAAATCATTTTATTTTTTAATCTTTGTGACCTTGAAGTCTTTCATGATATTATGTTTCATGTTAAAAAAAACAAACACAAAACAACAACAGAAATCACTACCTTGTTTAACTGTTTTGAATTTATTTTGTTTGATGGTGCTGGATACAATCTTAAATCTTTTTATAGGAGATGGATTATAGGAGCTCCTAATCTATCTTCTGCATACACAATCTCAAGCTCTCAGTCTTCTCTTATAAAAATCTTCATAGCCCTAATGACCTTTACCATTTGTCTCGAATCACTTATATTACTACCATATCTGTCTTGAGACATATTGTGTTCAGTACTGCTATCGATGTGAAAGTGCAACTGATTTGTATAACAGCATTATGCATTCATGTACTGATCTCTTTGTGTTCTCCATGCATCATGCCATTTTGTCTGACTGCAGACACACTGTGAAAAGTAGTCTGTATCGGGCTTTCCATAATTGACTCAAAAATCTTTTAAGATTCCTGAGGTATTAAATTACTCGGCACGATAAAATCTCAGAGTATTTATGTGTACACTTAACATTTAACCCTTGGTATCTATTAATCATATTTTCATTTACTTTTATCTTAGAACCTACAAAATTAATGTTTGCTTTATAAAACTTGTAGTTTTTTTGTAATTATTTATGCACTACCTACATTCGATATGTATGTCAGGAAACATAAATGAAACACATAGGTAATGGGAACATACTTTCTGATTACCATTGGTAATGCAATCCAGACTATCAGATATAGACTAGTTGACATCTGTTATAGTATCAATTTTTATGCAAAAAGTTTATGGACATATTGTCATTCATTCCTTCATATTGGTCATGCTCAGCCCAGAGCTGCGGTGGAGTTTCAGAGCCAGAACTGTTGGGGCAGCAGAGCAGAGCGAGATATTGTGAAGAATTTTGGGAAACCTCAGGGCTGAGAATTCAATTTTTTTTTTTTCCCTATGATTCTATGATAATTTAGATCACAAAATTAAAAATTTGAGCCAGCTACTAAAAGCCATCTTGCTAGCCTTATGATTGCAGTTATATACAATAAGCAAATGACGTTCACAATTAAGGTGTACTTCCCAATCCACACAGACAGACTTTCGTATTTTGGAAAAGGTTTTTCTAGCTTTACGATTTACATAGTTAATACAGCAGAAACAGAACATCAGTCATAAAGTTGAAAACAAAAATTTTGAAAATTCATCTCTCTGCATAAATAAGTTCACTATTAAAATGACTTATTTTAAAGTCACAACTCTGTTTTCTGATGCTACACAACTTTGTTGAGAATTTCCGTCATAGCTCTAATCTTCCATTTCCTCAAGTCACAAAGTTAACTGATGAGAGGATTTCCTCTCTTTATCTAAGACATTCTTAAAACTCAAGATGCCTCATTTAATGTGTCAGCATTGTACAGGGCTCAGTGAGGACAGTGTGAAGTACAAAACTGATTTCTACTGGAAAACCAAGAAAGCATCAACATAAGCAGAAAAACTTACTGAATACTCATACCTTCCAAACACACACAAAAAATCAAATTCAGAACCCCTAAAAATGTCCACAGAAAAAGACAAATTTCAGACTTTTAAATTAACCTCTTGAAGTCCCTTATCATTGCATTCCACAGAGGAATGGACATGAACAAAAGTTCACTTACAGACAAGAAGCTTAGGAAACAAATAGAACAAACTTCTTTCAGATTACTTAACCTTCTATTTAGAAGACAAGAATACTAAAGTCAGGCCTACCCACAGCAGTCTGTAAGAGAACTGGAGAATTGGTTTGT